AACTTTATATTTTTTTAAATATGAATTTTAAAAATTTTCTTGTCATATTCATTAATAAATAAAGTTGGAAGTAAAATAGATTTTTCTTTTTAACTCTAGACTAGAATACCCCATAGGCTTTATATATGAAAACTTCAGTTGAGCCTTTTGCTCAAAGCATGAGTTTTGAATTATCAGGTATTAATTACATTTTAAAATGAAAACTTCAGTTAAACTTTTTCCACATAGGATTAGCTTTGAATTAACAGGTAAGAATTGTGAAACAGATAAAAGAAAAAAAAAATATAGTTTCGTCTCTTCAATTTAGCATGGCACTTGGTTAAAAATGTACTTTTTTACTTTTAATAAAATTTTTGGAACATCCGACATCATTTTGAAATAATTAAAGAAGTTCTATACTCTGGGAATTTTAAACCCAGTATTTTCACTTTATAAAAGCTTACGAGGATTAAAATTTGTAATCTACAAAACGACTAGAATGTTAGCAAGTAGGAACAAATTACTTTACTGAGATGGTATATAGAAATCTTGAACACATTTTTACATATTTTTAAAATTTTTTACAACTTACAACTTTATACAATTTTTGCAACTCTACGTTTAATATTATATAATTGTTTACAGATATCGCTTTTTATAAAAAAATTAAAGATTTCAAAAGCTGGGAATTTATGTAATAGTTGTTTAAAACCGAAACCTACACAACTTGGTTTCATCGATAGTAGAACTGTGGGAAGGATTTGTAATTCTGCCATCTAAAAATAGTCGCATGACCAAAGAGTATATATGTACATATAGTATAGTATATGTTTTAATAGTGTAGCTGACTTGAGTTCCTCTTAAATCCCTTTGGATGGAAAATATGTTGACTAGTTATGTCTTGTTGGCACAGTTAAGCTTTGGAGAGCTTTAAACAGCTTTGAACAGTTTTAGACAACTTTGGGCAGTTTTATGGCTATGCCGTTTGCTGTGAGCCGTAAAGCAAAGTTGGTTTGGTAGACATTTTCTTATATATCCAGCAAGGAGTCCATTAAAGTACTGTATAATGCATTGAGGAGCTTCTAAATGACAGCCTTTTGCCAGAATGCCTTTTTTATATAACAAATCAATTGATTGATAAATTTTTGTAAAAAAATATACAACGAATTACATAAAATTAATTAATGCTAAATTTTTTGTTGTATAGATTTATGAAAAACAGCAGTGCATTAATTTTTTCTCATAATTTTATTACTTTTTCTGCTTTTATTTTGTTTTTATTTTTTTGTTTGTTTTGTCTTTCTATTTGTTGCTTTGTTAAACTATTTATCGGCGCTTTGCATTTTTTAAAT